ATCATCACCTTAATCATTATCATTATCATCATCATCACCATCATCACCTTAATCATTATCATCATCATCATCATCACCTTAATCATTATCATCATCACCTTAATCATTATCATCATCATCATCACCTTAATCATTATCATCATCATCATCACCATCATCACCTTAATCATCATCATCACCATCATCACCTTAATCATTATCATCATCACCTTAATCATTATCATCATCACCTTAATCATTATCATCATCATCATCATCTTAATCATTATCATCATCATCATCACCTTAATCATTATCATCATCATCACCATCATCACCTTAATCATTATCATCATCACCTTAATCATTATCATCATCATCTTAATCATTGTCATCATCATCATCACCATCATCATCATCACCTTAATCATTATCATCATCATCAGCATCATCACCTTAATCACTATCATTATCATCATCACCATCATCATTATCATCATCATCACCACCATCATTATCATCATCATTATCACCATCACCACCATTATCATCATCATCATCACCACCACCATCATTATCATCATCATCACCACTACCATCATAACCTATAAACATGCATGCATGACTATATTATCTACACTGTATTAATAGACTGATAGTCTGTAGTATAATAGAGTGAAGGCATTTAACCCGTGAAATAAAAATACTAGTCAACGTGTAATGGTCAAACAGACACAAAAGAAAACAATTAGGGTCTACTAATGTGTATTAGGAGGGACCGCCCTGGAGCATATTGAAAAGTGGGAGGGGCTGGCATTTGAAAATTAAGCATATTCTCAATTAAATTTGGGGGGGTGGGGGAGTTTTTTATTTATATTCGTATTTTTGGCGCAAAAAGTGGGGAGGCTGCAGCCCCCCCTCCCCCCGGCTCCACGGTCCCTGATTAGTCTAATATCTATTTCACGGGTTTAATGACTTCACTCTAATCATAGGAATCTATAAAGATCGTGCAATTTGAAAACGGCACTCTCAAAGGCTTACTTTAAAAAAAGTTCGTTGTCTATAGCGTCTATACACAATGAAAAATGATAAACAGCAAAATATAGTAAATTTATGAATTAATCCTTGGACGTCAATTAAATTATTGTCAAGTGAATATATCTAATTCTACTCTAACTAGAGGCTACATTAGCGCATGATTTGATTAGCAATGCCCAGGGTAATTGAAATCACTCTAGTTTACGGGAATATAGCTATATGATCAATAATCATAGGTCAGTCTAACCCATTATCTTTAGGTCGTCGCTGATAATGATTGGTTAGTTGGGGAGGGCAGGGATCGGCTATTTAAATTCTATGACGTCAAACAAATTCCCGACTATTCATGAAGTTACGCACACGCGCCTATGTGCGCATGTGGAATATGAGCGTTATAAATATTAAAGTTATTATTCATTAAAGTTGAAAAAGGAAAGTGGAAAAGTACCCACTGTAGTGTTACACTACGTTAGTTCCCCAAACAAAACCAGCTGTGGTTACTGCAAGGTTAGCGAGTTAAAAAAATGGAAATTCGATGATGAGATGACTCGCAAAGATTATAGTATTTTATCCTCACTGCATACTCATTACCGAGCCACGGGAATTAAGATATGGAAGGTGACCGCGACTGCTGCCAATGAGCGTGCGAAAAGCATGCGATGCGTCGTCAAACGTCACCAGGGGAGGTGGGTGGGGTGAATTTGTATGGGAATAAATAGGTTTTGGTGTTTAGGAATTAATTTTGGGTATACACTTATTTCTATAAAGTTAGTCACCTGAAAACCCATAAAGCTGAGGCCGACCAGGATTATGGGTAGATTCATTTTACACGTTCAACGGCCTGATAACGGTTTACGGACTTGCGAATCTTTTACCGGTTACAGTCTCACCTCTTCTGACCATCATCGAGCTGAAGTTTGTATTAAAAAAGCTTTGTATATATATGCTTTTTTGATATGAAAAGTTTCCCATGATGCTTAGTGGTCTCAGCTTTCTTGGTTTTTGGTGACTAACTTTATTGAAATAAGTGTATATCTGCCGCGGAAATGCCAAAAGTAGAAAGCGAAAACAAACCGAGACAGCAAAAGTAAATACGTGCGATACATGGACCGACAAGAACGCGAGAAATGAAAACAGCTAGGACCGRACACGTAAAGACAAAGGCGCACTCAAGGGAAATAACACCGCGATACTAAATGAACTAACGAGGTAAACAAAAATAGGGTAATAGAGTGAACCAAGCCATGACACTAATTCCAACACTAGATGAAAAAGGGCGAATAGAAAAAACTAAGCGCAAAACCCAACTTAAACTAAGGGTCGAAATGCGTAGAGCCCGAAGGAACGCCTGCGAAAACGAAACTAACTGTAAAGAATGGCGATAGAACTATAGGAAAAGTAAAGAAAAAGAACCGGGCAAGTAACATACTAAAAATATTTAAAATATACAAAAATAACTGACGCGTAAAGAGCTAAACGAGAATATGAGGTGGGGCGAACAAAGCCGTGACACCAAACTAACTTAGACTTATACAGCATAAAGACGAGTTCAACCAGGGCAACTGCGAAACTGCTAACTAAGGAGATAGCCATTAAACTAGGGGGGCAGTAAACGCAGAAGACTACTAATCCACAACGCAATAGGACGACGTACGAACTCCGGCTCCCAAACTTATTTATACCTCATTGGGTGGGTTTCCTACTTCAACTGCTGGTTCTTGAGAAGCGGCTGGTGCAAATCCTGCCGGTGCTGCTAAAGCTGGAGCGACTGGCGCTGGGATGGTGGGCATTGGGCCAGGAAGAGGAGGTATGTTAGCCATGTTAGCTGGTGGCGGTTGGATGAGGGAATCTTCTACAACTGAGGCTCTCCTTAAGCAGCTTCCGACGGAATGATTCAAGGATCTGGGTGTGGCGCTTATATATGCAGGGGTCGCAAAGCATTACACATACACTGCGCAAACTCCAATGTCCATATATGGGGGGTTATTAAATTCCTACGTGACACACTAATTATGTATGCATTGAGAATAGAGTTGATGAATAAGTTGAATACTAATCCTAAACGAATTTCACAGTGTAAGTAAATAGTGTGTAAGTGAATATATGGATATGAAAAAGTCAGATGAAATCAATTAGATCGAATTTACTATGATGCACGTTCCGTTTAGTTTTACCAAACGCATCCCACATGGAAAGGAATGAGTATGCGTTTAAAGCCATCAGAATCACATTCAAAATGTTGAGTTTGCTGGTCATAGCAAGGGGTTAATCATCTACGGTCTAGGGGCCGACTAACTTCTCCCTTAGGCTTCGGCCGAGTTCCCTGATCAGTCTGTAAATCTTCGGATAGCGGTGTCGGGGTCGAAATCTCCGGCCTAGCCGTAAATGATTCGCGCTGCCATACGACGGTTCAGCACTCGATGTCTGGAAGTATGGTCCTGGTTTAGTAAATCAAAAAGTAAAAATCCTAAATTCATGTTTCCATAAATAGCAAATGAACTTCAAGATCGATTCAGGGCTGTAGCCAAGAGTCTTGCAGGTGGGTACACGGGGAATAGAAATAAACTGTCTAAACTAACATACAGTCGTCTTGAAAAGTGGCATAACATATATTCCAAGGATTTGCAGAACCAAAAAAATAAAGAAAGAAAAAGGAAAAAAAGGTGAATGATCGATCCAATAATTAACCTACAATTTGTAGAGCCCAAAACGATAAATAAATGAATATATAAAATCAAAAATCAAATAACAGCAATAGTTGATTGGTATGGTTCCTAGTTTTATACATTAGATGTTTTTGGGTTTCCTGTGTAGTGACACGGACACGATGACAAGGTGGCTACGCCGACCACCATTAGGATCTAATATTTTATATAAATTGGGCTTCCTATGGTCCATTATTGGTTGTCAAGGAGATTCTTACCTTCTCGCCCTTATTGGTAACCATGGTAATAAAGAGCGCAAGTCCTTTATGCCGCTAATCATTATGTCTGTTTTCTGATTAAAAAGAAGAGTTGCATTTTGTATTCCAGACAGATTATTGACGGACACGAGATTTTGAAGGACCATTATCGGGCCTGGACCAAGGTTGGTTAAATGAAAAATACCCCCCCCCCCCCCCCAAAAAAAAAAACAAATTCGAAGCATTAACGGTCTAAAATCCCTCACCTGATTTTGGGTTGCTTTGTCTTTCCAAATTACTCCGCCTTCACGACCATTTCTGTTAATTATGCCTGTAAAGAAGATATAGGAGATACGAGAAAGGATATTTCAAAACCCAAGGGCAGTATGGGTCTACTATGATATTCATTTCATTTCACAGGAAGAAGATCTTCCATTGAGCGTTATTTGGTTTGTAGAAGGCTTTTTGTCTTGAAATAGCTGAAACGACTGGTGTTTTATTATTATCATTCTCGTCAAGAACATCACATTCACATTGATATGGGGTCTGAGTTCTCGATGCACAAAAGAAAAGAATACAATGAACTATCAATTACAGGTGAGCTTAACATTTTGACTTGATACAGTGGCACACGCATTGACAACTTTTTTCATGCTCTGTTCACGAAGTAAGGTGGCCGAGAGCGGCAATAAAAAAGTCAAAGTCAATAAAGTCAGAAGTTAAAAAGTCAAAGTGATTTAGGACCATATTACAAAGTGAGTTTGTCTTTTTGATAAATTTCCTCTTGTTATTTTGTCACAAGACATTCTGACATTTCGTATCAAACGACTTTGTCCTCGTCACAAAACACTTTCGCTTTTGACATTTTATCGTCCTGCATTTTGTCATGAAAGACTTTCGCTTTTGACATTTTATCGTCCCGCATTTTGTCATGAAAAACTTTTCGCTTTTGACATTTTATCGTCCCGCATTTTGTCATGAAAGACTTTCGCTTTTGACATTTTATCGTCCTGCATTTTGTCATGAAAGACTTTCACTTTTGACATAGACGTAGACGACGAGTATAGGAACGAGTTTTTAACTTTTAGAGATTGGCACTATCATTTCGTAGTCGTAGTCGTGTACGTAGATTGAAATTTTAGATTATATGTAAAAATCGTAAGTCGACTATGATTTAGTGTTAACCACGCGCACAGGACCAATTTTAAAACTTGTACTCGTTATCGTACTCCGTTGTCGGATCTAAAGGTAATACTTGCTAATATAGCACAGTTCTCGACCAATCAGAGCGCCGGTACTATCATCTAAGCTATATAACAGTTTTCGTTTTCATCGAGCAGAGCCTGTGGAGTTCTCTGTTCCCAAGCCTTACACCCCGTCATACCGCCATTCTTTGTTGAAAATGATTGGAGAAATAGACAAGGATATCTACTCAGAGACACTTGATTACCGACAGCTCGCACCACCATCTAAGGCACTACCCCTGGGGACATTGTCCTTTAAAGTGGAGTACGAATCTTACGAAGAAAAGTTAACCATACATCTTGTAAATGCCAAGCGACTTCCGGTTCGACATCACGTGACCAAAGTAGGCGAAGATGTAGAATATAACCCAGTCCCTTGTGATGTTAAAGTATTAATCTGTTTGTTACCTGGGCAGAACGAAAATCTTGAGTCTTCAGTAAAACAAGACAATCGAGACCCAGTATTTGATGAGCTGTTTGTTATCAATATAAGCAAACAAGATCTAAGAAAGAGTATAGTACGACTGTCAGTATTTGACAGCAGAAGACTGCATCATTTATGTCCCATAGGGCATGCACTGTATAGTCTAAAGGCACAAGATTTGGATGGAGCCATAGAAGTGCAAAGAGAAATTAAGCCTCAAAGTCAGGTAAATGACATACTATTGAACGTTTGATTTGAGCCCACGAACGCTTAAAAGACGCTGGCTTACTATGGCACGCAGGAAAAAAAAAACCGGATTCCCAAATTGAGAATTTGTTGGGAATTTCCTTGAATTCCCAATGAATTATCATCCAATTCCCAGAGAGAACAAAATTGGGAACGTGGCACTGATTCCCAATGTTAGTTTGTTGGGAATTTTGTTTTTCTACCAATTATTTTCCATGCACGTGCTGTTGAGAAACACTTCATGTAACTCGCTTTCGATGTTTCCCTGTAGACCGACGGACACAGCAGAGGGCAGCTGTATCTGTCTCTACAATACTTATCTTCACAAGGTCGAGTCGTTCTCAAAATAATCCAAGCACAAGACATACTTCATTTCGAAAAGGCATGCTTCAAAGGTGAGATATAGTAAAACATATTATATTAGGTGTCCCAGACCCTACTCATTTGTATCAATTGGTTACTGAGCGGTAAACGACCCTTCTTGAAGTTAACGACCGCGACCACCATAACGAGGGTCGATTCGCGTGCCCAAAATTGCTAAAGGACTGGACATCTTGTGGTGAAAATTGCCTTAAGCGACACTTACTCTCCTCGCCCTAAGGTGCTCGCTCACGAGAGAGTCAACTGTACTTTAAGAAAGACTAATCCGTATAAGGCCTCAGGCTCCAACACATGCACTAGACAGACACATGCACTAGACAGACACATGCACTAGACAGAC